GGGGTAGAGCTTTCTCTTACAAAGCCCCACAGTTATGGAACAGCCTTCCACTTAGTGTTCGGGGCTCAGACACAGTCTCAGTGTTTAAGTCTCGGCTGAAACATATTTGTTTAGTCAAGCCTTTTGTGAATAGTTGTTTCTTAGGTACAGGGGCAGGTCTGGAGGGTTCACAGGCATAGAGTGTTGTGGTGAACTGGGATGTTTGGATGCTGTCGCCCCCCCACTCTCACACGTTCACTCAGGTTTGTCTACGGTGGAGTGGCTGCTGCTTTATGTCCCAGGAGCCCTCATGTCTGTGTTAGCTTCTGGCTCTTCCTTTTAGTTATGCTGTCATAGCTAGTCTTGCCGGAGTCCCTGCTAGTACATTTTCCTTAAACATTACGAGACAAAAGCTTACCTGATAATCTCTCTCCCTCTCTCCCCCTCTGTCGAGCTACACATGCTACTCCTGAGATACCAGTGATCCTGACCCCTTCTGCTCTCCGAATCTGCCTGAACCAATATGATGCACTACGTCTGGTTGGAGGTCCCATCTGCTGAGAATGGCCCCTGATGGACAGCCTAAAGATCACCATGAGATTACTGTGGATGGTACCACTTAGAAGAGATGGCTGTGGATGTTCTTCCATGGATAGCCTTAGGACTGCAATTACTAAGAAAAATTGCTAAGAAAAATTGGCAAAGTGTTTCCATCACTGAACAGTTAATAACTTCAACACAATAGATTTTAAGTTATAACTATAATGAATTCAGAAATGACTCTGATGCTCATATTCATATATACATATGAGCTCATACATATGTTGCTCATAAGCTCCTTGTTACACAGTTGCGCTTTTTGACTATATAGTATAAAGTTTTAGAAGGGACATTATTTACTTTTGCAATATCTGGTACCACCCAGATGAGGATGGGTTCCCTTTTGGTTCCTCTCAAGGTTTCTTCCTCATATAGTCTCAGGATTTTTTCCTTTGGCTTGATAATTAGGGATAAATTTATATCAGAAATTTTTTATATTTCTGTAAAGCTGTCCACAATGTCCATTGTTAAAAGCGCTGTACAAATAAAATTGAATTGAATTGCTGTGTATGATAAAGTTAGGAACATGCTCGGAGTGACAGCAGAGGCAGCAGTGTAACGTGTTTACAGCAGGAGTGGATTAAACACAGAAAATGGTTCCAGTGCAGTCGCATCCTTGCGCTGAGAAACAGAGGTGCTGCAGTGTGATTTAGAACCTGCAGTGATTTAGAGTGTTTCAGTGCTTCAATCAAGTGAAAAAGGAAGCGATAGACAGTAACAGGTGTGAATCAGTATTTTGATAAATGCAGCGATGAGGAAACAGTCCAATCATACACCCTGGCTAGCTGTGAAACCATAACAACTCTAAACCTGAGCGGTGGCTGCCAGTGAAGGATGTAAACATGAGGCTATGCCTGAGTTCCTCTTCAGAGAAGTCAGATAAAATCAAACGAAAATATTCTATAAACTGGACGAGGTCATGCGTTGCAGATATTCAGTGACTGGGATGTGGAGTTGCTCAGGCTCGGTCTACTTGTGAGAGAAAGTCAGGAAACGTATGCACCCTCTTCTAAACACAAACAGGTATTTAATATTCATCCTAAAGCACGTCACGTTGCTGCATTCAGACTCTTTCACACGTTCAGAAGGACGACCGCTTTGTTCCCCTCTGCGGTTTAAACTGATATTCAGATGAATGAGCTCTGCACTTGGCTCTGTGACAGAAACGCAGCTCCGTTACCGTTTTAGGCCTCAGAGCGCTCAGACAGCACAAATGCTATTACAGCACCAGACTGAGCCTCATAAATAAGCAGTAATGGGCCCCGAGTCAGAGCAGAGCGGCTGTCCTTACAAGACCTCCAGTGTGGCACCAAGACAAGAAAAGGTGGTATAGTCCAAATGCAGGCAGGAGGTGGTACAGTCTGAATGAAGACATGAGGCAGTACAGTCCTGTCTCTGCAATCTCCTGAAAGTAAAAGCTATTAGCTCATATTACCTCAGTGAATTGTTTTGTTATGAACTATGTTTTTTCAGTTCTCAGTGACTGCAGCGCTATAAATGGTGTACGGATGAAATAAAGCCCCAGGAATGAAATGGTTTTGTTGGACATCATGCCAGATATTTATCACACACACTCGTACAAGGCTGATATGTGCTTGTTCCTGCCAACACAAAAAAAAAAAAATTCCACTGTGGGTTCTGGGAGACCAAGCGGCACTAAACAGCCGCATGGTGGAATGCAGCAGCTGAACTGTGCTCTCTTCTGGGCTGCAGACAGACGGGCAGATAGACTTCATCACCTGCTGGGATGAGATTCTTTACCCCTGTGTTCTACACCACTCTTCCACAACTGCTGAGACTTAACAAATAAACATCGGCTCAGTTCAAACCAAAACATCTCTCTCTCTCTGTCTGTCTCTCTCTGTTTCTCTCTCTCTCTCTCTGTCTATCTCTCTCTCTCTTTCTCTCTGTCTGTCTCTCTCTCTGTTTCTTTCTCTCTCTCTGTCTGTCTCTGTCTGTTTCTCTCTCTCTTTGTCTCTCTCTTTCTCTCTCTGTCTGTCTCTCTCTCTCTCCCTCTTTCTCTGAGATCCTGTGTAAGAACAGATGCTGATAATAAAATTTCTCCTGAACATCTTATCATAAAGCTGCTTCATGCTACATGAACAGTTTCAGTCTGAAGAGTGGCTCAGGAAAGTAGATTTATTCACTCAGCCACTGAAATTGTAGTTTTATTGCATTTATTTATGAAATTAACTAGAAAGCTGTGACACCTGATCAGGCACAAAGTCACTGCTGGAATTTCGCTTCATGATGTACAGCAACAGGACAAATAAGCGCAGGATATAGGTTATGCAGTTCATACTTTTGTTTTTTCTTGTTGTTGTTGTCAATTAGTTTAGAGATGATGAAGCCGAGTGCAGGATTAAGAAAATTAGCTTTCAGATTAAAATTTACTGCAGCAGAACTGATCTGTGAGAGAATTCTTGTGGAAAATCTCTCTGTTTATTTTAAGGCTGAGTAAAGGATGTGTGTGTGTGTGTGTGTGTGTGTGTGAGATAGAGAGAGAGAGCGTCTGATCAGCTGATCTACAGCTTAAACAAAGCCCACAGTGACGCTGTAACTCTGAGACACGTGTCTGAAAACGATCAGATGGCACGACTGTGAGGCCTGCTGTCACAATTAGCATTAGGATTAGTGCTGTCATAAAGCCGCCATGTGACTCTTCACCTCCTCGGGCAAACTGGACCTGATAAAACGCTGCATTGTGTCTCTGCTCTGAGTGTCAGGAACTTTTCTCTAGTTGTATAAAAGAAAAAGAAAAAGCTAGAACAATCTGAAATACTGAGATTTATTTTAAACTCGATGATGTGTAAAGACAGTAGAAAATGTTTTTAAAAATGTTACAGGTTCTTCCTGATCTCTGAAAAATTATGCATTAATTTTATATAGGCTTTTTATAGGAAAATATTAACAATACTAAATATTTATTATAAGAAACACAGATAAAGGCTTCTTTCACATTTATTTACCCAAAAATTCCACCATCCTTCACTCACAGAATTTGGCAGAATCTTATCCAGAGCGACTGACATTTATCTCATTTATACAACGGAGCAGTTGAGGGTTAAGGGCCTTGCTCAAGGGCCCAGCAGTGGCGGCGCTGGGGATTGAACTCATAACCTTCCGATCAGTAGGCCAACGTCTTAACCACTGAGCTACTGCTGCCCCTTTCAGTGGAGGTCAGGGGTCAGCATGGACACTCTGACCGTCTGCAGCTACGCAGCTCCATATGCAGCAAGCTGCACTGTGTGTTCTGACTCCTTTCTATCAGAGCAGCATTCAATTCTTCAGCAGTTTGTGCTACAGCAGCTCTTCTGTGGGATCGGACCAGACGGGCTTTCGCTCCCTATGTGCATCAGTGAGCCTTGGGCGTCCATGACCCTGTCGCCGGTTCACCGGTTGTCCTTCCTTGGACCACTTTTGGTAGGTAAAAGAGTTTTGGTAACCCCTGCACACCGGGAACACCCCACAAGACCTGCTGTTTTGGAGAAGCTCTGACCCAGTCGTCTAGACATCACAATTTGGCGCTTGTCAAAGTCACTCAGATCCTTACTCTTGCCCATTTTTCCTGCTTCCAACACATCAACTTGAAAAACTGACTGTTCACTCGCTGCCTAATAATCCCTCACCTTTACAGGTGCCACTGTAACGAGATAATCAACGTTATTCACTTCAGCATTTATGGTGAAATCTGTACAAGAAAAACTCTTCACTTTAACACCCCTTATTCACAAAGAATCCTAAAGTAAACAGTTACTAAAAGTTCTCAATGACACAGACAGTTTCTAGCTAAGAATTTCTTCCTAAATCCAAACAGCTCAGAGGAATTTTCAGTAAGGAACTGTTGAGCTAAGAGGAAGTGTGTGCTTGACCACACTGTTACCTTCCATATAAAAAAAAAACAGTGTGTGTGTATACACAGATCTAATGTTGTCTATTGCAGAAAAATAGTTTTGTGTAAGTGAGGATGTTATTAGATTGATGTGTGTTGATATATTTATATTTGTGTACTTTACATGGCTGTGATACTGCACTCACAAGGTTCACGATACACTTCTAATTAAAACAGGAGTATTAAGATTAGGATAAAGATCCATTTAAAAAATTTCCCCTAAATCTGAAAATTCTGAGCTGCTTTTATTCCTGTGATGTTTTTGTCAATATGACAGAACGGATTTTTTTTTTTGCTGTAAGTGCATAAAAGTGTTTTCGGTTGTAAAAGACGTTAGTCTGATGGTGAAGGTGTGAGCTCGGTGTCTGCACTTCACACGAGTAAACAGGATATCTCAGACGCAGACACACCGAGTACATGAAAGCCACAAGATGCACGATTCAGAGCCAGACTCGCGTGGGTGCAAATGAACACAGCACATAAACACGCCTCATGGAAAACACTCTACACACTCTACACACTCCCTTCCTTTTCTACTAATACACATGCACCCTAAAGAGAGTGGAGCGTGCAACTCAAATCATCCACGTCTGTAAATACTGAACCCGCTCACAGCAGTGTGAACAACGAATGAAGTGCAGAACCACTGTGTCCTATTTCCAGGAATGTTCACTAACCCCTGGAGAGCGGAGTGTGTATCCTGCACTGAGCTGTGTATTCACGCTGATGCGTACAGGAAGTGAACCGAGACAACATACACAACAATGGAGTTCAGCTTTAAGGCCACAGGGAGGCTCAGGCCTGATGGAGTATTTTTAAACACGTGGGTGGAGATCCTCTTTCACAATCGCTGTTTAGTAAGTTCCCCTTTTTCCCAACCTCGCTGCGTACTGGGACACGCCCCCAAACAATAAGGCTTTATTAACGCGAGTACTTAACACCTGAAAGGCTGCGTTCTAAATCAACTGTGTTTTACCAGCAATTAATTCCATAAATCATGTTTCTGTGCATTTCACTTTTATTAACTGTATTGTAAAAAACTGAACAAATCCATATCAGTTTGTGTTTATACCACATCTAATCCTCTATGAACAAAAGTTCTTTGACTTTTAATATTAAACCATCCAGTTTTATTTCAGTCAGAATGCACACACTGTTGGGGAACAGAACGGTTCTGCGTGTTCACAGAGAGAACGATGATCGCTGGGGTGTTTATTATGATGAGAATCTGAAGATGCAAAATGATCAGCAAATTATTTATTCATCGCAATAAGTGTAATGAAGCAACTTTAACTCGACCAAAGAGCCGTGTTTCTGTTCTACGGGGTTCTAGAATGCAGTGTGTAGACTCTAGAACTCCGCTCTGTTCCAGTGTTAATGCGTGGAACGTTCTAGAAGAGCAGAGACTCACAATATTAGCACTCAGCAGTGTGTGAGAAATCAACAGGTGAGCTAAAATCAACACGCGCACACACGCGCGCACACACACACACACACACACACACGCACACACACAGTGTGAGAACAGAGCTGCTGCTTTAACCTTCAGATCAGAGTCGAGTTTATGTTGAGCTACAAAAGCGCAGGAACACGCCAATTAAAACATTACCCATTATATCAGTATCCTTTGATGTGTGTGTGTGTGTGTGTGTGTGTGTGTGTTTCACTCACTATGTCACTGTGTGTGTGTGTTTCACTCACTAAGAGATGTGACTATTTTGGTGAACAATAAATAAATGTGTCTTTAAAGTCCTATTGGGAAAAATATTTCTCTGAAGAATTTCTGAAGGAATATAAAAAGGTTGGAGGTTTGCAATGTGACTAAAAAACCGCAAGGAACAAAAGGGGAAAATTAAAAATTGTAAAGAAAATATATTTTATTGTCCGAACATGTGACTTGTTAGTGTGAAAAATACATTTATTTTAAAAATGTGTCTTTAAAACACAGTGTAAATCTGGCAGAATTCAACTTATTAAAAATTGACTGACTTCAAACAAAAGTTCCATTTCTAGTGTATTTTACAAAAAATGCTGTGGGTTGGGCTTAGGCACCTGTCAGGAACTGTGATTTTTTTCATTTTTAACTTCACTACAGAGCTTCATCACCTCACACAAACACCACAGGCTTCGGACAAACACCTGGAATTAAAGACTCACTCATTTTACCTGCCGAGAGTTTGAGCTGTGAAAACGAACTAAACACACAAAACACTCATCTCTACACAGCAAGCGACGTCCAGAGCCCAGGGATACGGACGGTTTCTCTTTAAAACAGCCGCGTGTGTAAACACCCCCCCCCCCCCCCACACACACACACACACACACACACACACACACACACACCGCAGCAGGAAATAGAGCGTCCTGGACTCGGACAGTGAGGAAGCTGTTTGCTCGCTCTATCAGCACAGATTACAGATGCTGCAGTTCTCTATCTAAATACAGACAGCAATAAAAAAAGTCTACAAATTCACAAGCTGTGTTTATCTACGTTCACTTTTACTTTCTTTCACAGAAGGCAAAAAACTGAAACGGGATCCACCCCTCACATGTTCTCCCTTTTTAGCATAAAAAACAGTAAAGATTCAGTTCCAGAAACAGAAAAAAAAAACATCTGAGCTGATGATCAGAAAGCCGCAGCTGCACGTTTCAACCGAGTTTATTAAATAAAATCTCAGAGCCGCAGCGTTCCTTCAGCATGACCTCACAGTTCAGTAATGAAAACCATGCAGGGTGAGACACTCGTAAAGGGGGGAGTAAAACACACACATACACACACACACACACACACACACACACACACACACACACACACACACACACACACACACACAC